GAGACACTTTTTAACAGGAAAAACACTGAAAGGTATTGTGGTTTATAAGTTAATACTATTTGTAACATTAATAGATAGTAAAAAAAATAAATAATTCCTTTGCCCTTCATTGGTGATCTTAAATCTATTTTTGACACATAACTACTTTATACTTTCAAAAAATAGTAAACATTATGCTGTGCTTATGTTTCTGTGGGCCATAGATACTGATACTTGGCATGCTAAATATTGAAACTGAGAATAAAATTATTTATTCATTTGAAATTACCACCAGAAGTTTATGAACTTCTGTAGGTCCATCGACTCCTTTTGTGAAAGAATATAGTTAGGAAATAAAAAAGTTGAGGGTGAAAAATAACATCATTTTTTTCATGCTTGCGAATGTCTTTAATATGTTAATGAGGAGAAAGAGCTTCTCATTGCATCTGCATACAGTCAGTTCAATGTTGCTTTGGAACATGTGAAGAAACTCTGACATCACAAAACTAATATATACCATATATATCATTCATATCTAGCTGGAAAGGGAGAGAGGATGTAATAGTCTCTTCAGATAGCTGTAGCTATTACACTAAAGTCGAACAAGTTCCTGGGGGTGGCAGATGGGAGCCTGGTTTGCTTTCCAGCATCTTATGGATGGCTCCATGGGACCCGATGATTTTTTTCTGGCCTCCTGGGCACTTGCACGCACTTACACATATGCCCACACAGACACATGCCCATACACATAATTTAACATTTGAAAAAACAAGTATTTAAAAGGTAAAACCAGCAAGAGATAGTTTCTTAAAGTTACTTGGATTGTGACCTCAAGCCATTTCAGAGCCCTCTTCATTCTGTTGCTAGACCTCCATCGTTTACTTACACTACCTCTGCCCATGTGTGATGACACTGGAATACCCTGCCTGGGCTATTGGAAGAATGCTGCTGTCCTGAGGGTTACGAATCTTCCCAAGGTTGAAGCGTTTCAACCTGTCCTACCACATTCACATTCTCGGTGTTCCCACTGATGTCATCTGAGGTGTCAAGTGTTAGGGGCTCTTAAGCTCAGGGTGGTGGCTTCAAGTTCTCTCTTTGATCTTAATTTTTAAATTTTAAAAATTTGTTATTTATACAGTATTCTGCCTTCATGTGTGCCTACATGCCAGAAGAGGGCACCAAATCTCATTATAGATGGTTATGAGCCACCATATAGTTGCTGGGAGTTGAACTGAGGACCTTTGGAAGAACAGCCAGTGCTCTTAACTTCTGAGCCATCTCTCCAGCCCAGTACAAACTTTCTTTCTTTCTTTTTTTTAATATTAGGGTTGGTAATTTATTTAATTTTTATTTTATGTGTGAAGGTGTCAGATCCCTTGGAATTGGTGGTACAGACAGTTGTGAGCTGCCATGTAGGTGCTGAGAATTGAACCCAGGTCCTTTGGAAGAGCAGACAGTGCTCTTAACCACTGAGCCATCTCTCCAGCCCTTGTTTTTCTCTTGAATTTTATTATTGGCCTTAGATACTGGCAATGCATACTTCATTCTCTTCCAAGAAAATGCCCTCATTTCCGAGTAACTGTGGTTATTGGTCAACTGTTCATTTAAATAAACACGGCGCTTCTTGAGCTAGCTGGCTGACTCAGCTCACTGCTCAAATGGTGGCTCAGCTGCTCAGCCCCTCAGGGCATTGTCAGCACGGTACCGTGTGTGCCTTTTCCTTCTTGTCTTGTGAATACTGAAATGATATGTTCTCAGCCTTGGGGATTGTCTTAGTTACGTTTCTATTGCTGTGAAGAGACACCATGACAAGGCAACTTATAAAAGAGAACATTTAATTAGGGGCTTGCTTACAGTTACAGAGAGTAGTCCATGACCATCACGGAGTAGGGACAGCAGGCAGGCTGGCATGGCACTGGGGCTGCACCGGGGAGCTTACAACTTATCTGAAAGTTGAAGGCAGATAGAGAGACTGGACCTGGCATAGGCTTTTGAAACCTTGAAGCCCCACCCAGTGACACACTTCCTCCAATAAGGCCATACCTTCCAATCCTTCCCAAACAGTTCCACCAACTAGGGACCTAACCTTCAAATATATGATCCAAATGGGGGGGGGGGGCATTCTCATTTGAACCACCACAGGGGTTTATAAAGTTAGTATATTTTCTGTTTTGCCAAAGATTTTCTCATGTGAACTTGTCATTTCTTTTCTTGTTAATGGAGCAGTGACTCCTAGGACAGTTTAGAGGTACTGCCATGTTTCCTACTAAGGCAGCTCAGTGTTGCCTATGACTGCCCTTGTAACATCTGTGCACAGATGTTAGCACAGAGTTTACAGGGTTACCGTGAGGGTCAAAGATCATCTTGTACTTTGAGTAGTTCAGTGCTTCTTATATCGTGGTGCCGACAACACACATAGTAGGTGGTCCTTGGTGAACTAAGCGGACAACAAGGCGATATAACAAACTACAGGTCTGTTGGTGCCCAGAGACTCACCCATTTATAAGGCAAAGTATCCTCTGATCACCTGTTCTGTCTCTTGCAGCTAAATTTTTTAGCTAGCTGGGTTGCTGTGTCCTTCTTCCTGTAGGTGTGTACCAATGCTGACTGCTTCCCGGTTTCTTTGCCAAACAGTACAGCATGTCCACCCTGTAAACACTTTGATGCATTCTTAGTTTTTGGTTTGTAAAGCTTAATCAATCTTTGTTTTTTTAAAGAGCTTGTTCTGTCTAGGTTTAAAATATTTGATTACTTTTTTCTTTACATCGTGAATAACTGGCTATAACATGACACAGTACATAGCATTTTTTGGGCATATGTGTGCTGTATGTGTGAATACATGCTGTGTGTTTGTGTGTGCCACTGAACACAGACATTCATATGTGCATTTGTAGAGGCCAGAGGTTGATCAAGGTGTTTTTCTCTACTGAACTCTTTCAGACAAAGTCTCTCACTAAACCTAGAACTCAATGATTTGGAAAACTGTCTGGCCAGCCGCCGAGATCCTCCTCTTTCTACTTTCCCAGTGTTAGGTTATAGGCACATGCTGGAACTGTGCACATACTGATTTTCTTTACAGAGATCTGCGGGTCCAAGTTCAGGTCTTCATGATGGTGTGGCATGCACACAACCCACTGAGTTGTCTCTCCAGTCCCCTCGAAACATTCTGTCTGTCTGTCTGTCTGTCTGTCTTGTCTGCCTTCATACTTAATTTCAAACACTGAACGTAGTTTATAAATGAAAGCTGAGGACTTCCAAAATAGGAATATCCTGTAAATGTATTTTTAAAGACATTCCATTTTCATTAGGTATAATTAATTACTGACTTCTGAAAAGTCAAGGGAGAAATGCCTGTCATCATAGTTGCACTTCTTATTTATAGTCACACCCAGTTTCTCTTACCTGTCAGTTTAAAATTTCTGCATTTTTTTAGGTGTAGGCTACACAGATGTAAGTTGAAAATTGAAGTGTTCTGTTCTTTAGAACTGCAGTTGCTTGTAGCCCAATTTTGGCATGCAGATAAGGATGACCTTTAATTTCTCTTTCCACTGCCTCCAGCTCCTAAGTTGTAGATAGGTACCGCTACACCTAGCTTTAGAAGTCACAGGAATCCAACCCAAAGCTTTGTGCATGCTAGGCAGGCAGGCTCTCAATGGAGCCACAACCTGAGCCTGAGAATTTAAGTCTTGTAGTCATGTTTTTTCAGTTTATCTATAGAGTGGGAAGAAAAAAATCATAAATGGTCTTTTAGAATAAGCCAAAATATGATTTAACTCTAAAGTGAATTTTGATTATAATTTAAATTAGAATATTAAATATGACTGTGAACCAAGTTAATGAATACTACTTAGTTTTTATGTTTTTGTGTAGGCCTGTGGGAAGACATTAGGGTTCAAAGTAAGAATATACTGAACAATAGTGAGGTTATAGACTTCAGAGCAGACGGCCAACGATGGCCAGCAGATTCTCAGGGCAACTGTGGAGAACAAGCTGAGTCTCTGCCTTGTTTCTTCGACACTGGGTCTCGCTATACACCTCAGGCCTCTCTGGAACTCTCTTTCCTCCTATCTCTAGCACTCCACTGCCTCCGGAGTACTGGGATTATAGGTGTACAGCAATACTCTCACACACACAATAAACAAGTAAATCTTTTAACTGATTTATGCTTCCCTTTCAAAAAATGTTTGTATGCATGTGTGATGTGTTTGTGCACAGGTATGTGTGCAGGTGTGTGCAGCCCCACATGCATGAGTTAGGTCAGGGAGGATGTCAGATGCGTTTCTCTATCGCGCGCCACTTCATTCCCATGAGACAGAACCTCTCACGGGACCTGGAGCTCACTGCTTCTTCAGCAGGGTTGGCTGGTCAGTAGCCCCAGAGAACCCCCTGTCTCCACCCCTCTCATCGCTACAGGAGGGCGTGGTCACGTCTAGCCAGATGCTGGCGTGGTGAACTCACGCTTGTGAGCCACCTTCCCAAACCCACTACGCTCCTTTATGAAAAACAAAAACAAAAACAAAAAAAAAAAAAAAAAAAAAAAAAAAAACCCAGTTTGCTTATGCTTTTAAGTTTACATTCAATAGTTATGTCTTCTCAATTCAGGTTTATTTCAGAACCGTGCAACTTATAGAAGAGCCCATTAAAGGGTCTCCTGGCCTAAGTTTCTACTTCAAAATTAATGGGCTTCCTATATTTCTGAAAGGCTCAAACTGGATCCCAGCGGACTCATTCCAAGATAAAGTCACTTCCGAAGTGTAAGTGTTGGCTTTTTTTTTTACCTATCACTCCCCACCCACCCACCCACCCTGCTCTTTCTGCTACGCCAGTAAACTCAAAGTTTGAAGTTCTGTGCATCCGTTCCTTTAATCCCAGCAGAAGGACCTGAGGCTAATACAGAATGATAGGGTGCCAGAAATTTCAGATTGTTTTCAGTCATTCTTTCTCTCTTGAGATAATAGTCTTACAGCTAGCAAGTCTGAGACTGTTAATGACATCCACTTTTTAGAAAACCATTAAATGTTTTTCTCTGCAGAAAGAAAGTGACACATTGATATTTAGGCTAATTAGCTTCAGATAAAAAATTAAATCCAACTTGTTGTTGTTCTTCAAGGAATACATTCAATAATTCTGAGCATGATTTTAAGGGATAAGGGGCTACATTTATTTTTTTATGCTAAAATATTATTTTACTTAACAAAATCTTCTTTTGTATGTGTGGCATGTGTGTGTGTGTCTATCTGTCTGTCTGTGCACATGTCTGTGTTCATGAGCATGAGTATAGGTTCACATGCATGCCACACGCCTGTGGAGGCCAGAGGAGGTTTTAGTTAGGGTTACTATTGCTATGATAAAACACTGTGACCAAAAGCAAAATGGGGATGAAAAGGTTTAGTGATGTGCCCACATCACTGTTCATCACTGATGGAAGTAAGGACAGGAGCTCAAGTTGGGTGGGAACCTGGAGGCAGGAGCTGATGTGGAGACCACCAAGAGTGCTGTTTGCTGGCTTGCTCTCCATGGCTTGCTCAACCTGCTTTCTTACAGCACCCAGAACTACCGGCCCAGGGATGACACCACCTACACTGGCCTGGGCCCTCCCACATCAATCGCTAATTAAGGAAACACCTTACAGGCTCCCGATCTTATGGTGACATTGTCTTAATTGAGGCTCCCTCCTCTCTGCTTTGGCTTTGGTCTAGTTGACATGAAACTATGCAACACAGAGGACAACCTTGGGCGTCAATCCTCACCATCTGTCTTACTTGAGACAGGATCTCTTCGTTGTTCACCACTCTGTATAACAGGTTTTCAGGCCCAAGAGCATTAGGGATCTTGTTTCCACCTCCCATGCTGCTGTAAGAGCCCTGGAATTACAGTTGTGTGCTTGAGTGTCCTTTGTGTGGGATCTGGGGATTTGAACTCAGGTCCTCATGCTTGTTCAGAAAACACTTTACCCTCTCAGCCATCTCACCAGCCATTTTTTTACTTCACTAAGAAACTAAAAAAATCTTGGTGGGAGGGGAATATGTAGAAATATAAGAGCACACAAAATAGTCTAGAGAACAAGTCTGGAGACCTGAGGGATAATGTGAGGACATGAGGATTCTGGGTGATAAATTTTTCCTGTGCATGAAACCAAAGGGAGCTAGCTAATTAAACAATGATGGGTCAGCTAATGCACTGCAGTCGTAACCTTTTTACTATCAACAGCTATCCTACAACGCCCTGCTGTATACCTTAAACACACACACAATAAAACTGACAAAGCAAAGCAAAAACGTGAGAGGTCTTAATCTGGAAGAAAACTGCAAGTGTTCTTTGAAGGTCTTGAAAACAGAATTTAAAAATTAGTATGCATTTATGTATATGGTGTGTTTGCTCTGTACCTCGCCTCTCCCTTTGTTTTGTGTATGTGTGCGCGTGTCCGGTGGCCTGTCCACACATGTGGAGGCCAGAGGTTGATGTCGGTGTCTCACTCAGTCACTTGCCACCCTAGCTTTTGAGAAAGGAATCTCACTGAACCTGGGGCTTACTGATGGGCTACAGTTACAGGCACCCACCCCCACAGGCCACATTTTACTATTGTTTGGAATCAAACCAGGTCTTCACGCTTCTGGGTCAAGTACTTTGCTTTCTAAGCCATTTCCCTGTCCCTCTGCTGTATTTTCTTACAGGTCAAAATATAAAGCAAAGAGTAATTTAAGAGACAGTCTAAGGCTACTGACAACTTACATAATAAAGAATCACCCACAGTTAGTTTTCTTTTTTTCAGTTTGTTTGATTAATGTGGTTACAACTAGTCTCTGTTATTTTACCTCAGTTTCTTTGGCGTCAATTAGAACAAAGTCGTTTTGATTTTTAAAGTGGCTTTTTTCCTTAACAGATTTGAAAAATTTTGTAACGCTTCGCATTGCTTTTGCAATCCCACCCACAGGTTGCAGCTCCTTTTGCAGTCTGTCGTGGACGCCAACATGAACACCCTGCGGGTGTGGGGAGGAGGCATCTACGAGCAGGACGAGTTCTATGACCTCTGTGATAAACTTGGAATAATGGTGAGTGCGTGAGACAGTCTTGATGTGTCCGTAGGAGGCTCGCCCCCACTCTGATGTGGGTTGATATCATCACCCTTTAACACTTCTCTCAGAGCAGGGAGTCATGGTCTATATTTTGTGTGTGTGTGTTTGTTTGTTTGTTTATTTATTTATTTATTTTGGCCAAGGAATAAGTGAACTATAGTTGCCAACAAAAAGCGGAATTCTCTACCGTTTTAAAATTATAGCCATTATATGTGAGTTATACCTTCATAATTTTTCTTGTGACATATAGGTGTACATAAGAAGATAAAATATTAAGTAAGTTAAGGAGCTCTGGATGAGCTCTGGAGAGAAACAAAAATAATAAAATTAACCAAAGAAAATATGTTCTTAGTCTGCAAGTTTTGATAAGAGGAAGAGTAGGCAAGGAGATGCCCCCATCTCTCATTATCTCTGAAGAGCTGACTTTAGGAGCCCTGCGGGCGTCCGGTTCCTAGATACCCAGCCCCCTCACTTAAAGAGATGGAATGTTTGCACCAGCATACCCACATCCTTTCACACGCTTTGTTATTATTGGGCCATTTCATAGACATCATCTGTATCATGTTATATACTTCATGGTTCATTAAACACACGCATACAACACACGCGCACGCGCACACACACTGTATGTGATAAATACCTACATGTGTGTATGTGCCATGTGCAAGCCTGTGCCCTCGGGCTAGATGAGGGTATCAGATCTCCTGGAGTTAAATGTGGGTGTAAACTGCCATGTGAGTGCTGGGAGCTGTGAGAGAAACAAGTGAGCTTAACCCACGAGCCGTCTTTCCAACCCTGAGAAAGAATCTGTATGTGCTCAAATACGTAGCACATGTACATGTGTACACAGGATGCGTGTGTGTGCGTGTGCGTGTGTGTGTGTGCGAGTGTGTGCGCGTGAGTGTGTGTGAGTGTGTGTGTGTGTGCGTGCGTGTGTGTGTGTGTGTGTGTGTGTGTGTGTGTGCACGCATGCATATGTGTGTGTGATTTTTTTTTTCTGGATATTTTTGACCCATGGTTTAAGCTTTTTTTTATTTTGTTCTGGCTTTTGGTTTTTGTTTTGTTTTGTTCTGTTTTTTTTTTTTTTTAATACAGGGTTTTTCTGTGTGTCCTTGGCTGTCCTGGACTCGCTTTGTAGACAGGCTGGCCTCAAACTCACAGAGATCCGCCTACCGCTGCCGCCCTGAGTGCCGGGATTACAGGCGTGCACCACCACACCCAGCCCGTAGTTGAATCTTTAGATGCAAACCTCATGGATATGGAGGGCCAATTGTATATATATTAATTCTTGAAGTAGAGAGCACCAGAAGAGAGCTGGAATCCCAGCAACAATGACAGCATCCTGATAATGACAACCACACTCTACACTGTTCATTGACTGCCAGGCATTTTTCTCAGTTATGCATGTTTATTTTGTTTTACTTTTTCTTTTTTTTTTTCATGCTTTCACGACATGGTTACTCTTGTTCTCTGTCCCCATTTACAGAGAGTTAAGCTGACCCATGCAGAGGCTCTGTTCCCTGCCCAGTTGTTCACCGTCTGTATATGGTGGAATCAAGACTGGCAGAAAGGCAGGCTGCTTGGGGACTTAGCTTGATCAGCTGCTCCACACAGGCCTCCTAGGAGAGGGCTTCTTGGTCTCGTTACTTAAGTGCGCATCTAGGAATCTTTCTGTCTGCAAAAAAGCTAAATTCTTTCTAACCGTTCTGTCCTGTTAAAAGTCTGGTGTACCTCTTGCTACTCGGTGCCTAGTGAGATGGGAAAGAATAAGAAAACGGGGAAGGGCCTACCGAGCTTTATTTCTCCCCTCTCTCTCACCATTTCCTTTTTTGGATCCTCTTTCCTTCCTCATCCTCCCTGCTTATTTAACGTTCTCTCGGGCTTCTAAACATTTTTGTGCAACCCTGAAAAGTGTGTGGGCATCACCTTTCCTCTGTACATAGATGCTCAGGTGGATGCATTTGAAGGAGAAGTTGTTTTTCCTTTATTCGACAGATAATGCCCTTGGTGAGAATGAAGTTTGCTCTCTGTGCGGTGACATTGCCTTTTCTTCTGTTGGGCAGGTGTGGCAGGACTTTATGTTTGCCTCTGCCCTCTATCCAACCGATGAGGGCTTCATGGAGTCGGTGAGAACAGAAGCTGCGTACCAGGTTTGCTGCTACTACACCTCTGAAAGGAGAAAACGAACACATCTTATTTTTTCCCTTTTGTTCAATCACTTATTTCTATTTGGTGTTTCCTACTAAATTCTATGAAAAATTGCAGTCTGGTAATTGATTTCCTGAGTGATTCACCCCGTGTCATGGCAGAAATAGCATCTGCCTGCTGAGAACTATCAGGTTTATGCCCGATCTTCCAGTCTCTGATAAAGTCCTCATTCTTGTATCCAGCTGCCTGCTTGGTGGTGTGGTGAGAGGTTTAGTGGGCCTCTCCAAACATGTAACATGCCCAAATCACCTGTCCACCATTTCCGCAATGCTGCTGCTCCTCAGCAAATGAATACCGGTCTAGCTCAGGACAAAGATTTCATGTGACTCTTGAATCCATGAATTGTTTTGCATTTGACACATGCCTAGTTAATGATTTTATGTTTATTTATTTAAAAGATTTTATTGATTTGCTTATTTTTTTTTTATCACTGAAACCTCCGATCATGGATTAGTCTAGTCTAGCTGGTCAGTGAGCCCTGAAATTCTCTGGTCTTTGCCTCTTCAGTACCACAATTAAAGATGTGCTCAGCCCTGCCCAGTTTTTGACATGGGTGCTGGGGATGGAACTCAGGTTTTCCTGCTTGAGTACAAAGCACTCAAATGACAGAGTTGTCTCCTCCAGTTTTTCGGAGAGCTATTAAATTGCATCGCCAAAGTGCTTGAGTAGCCATTTTATGACTTTATGAAGTAGGCAAGGAAATGCGGTGATTGTCATTTTATTAATTGGGATAGCTCTGAGTTCTTCTGTGTTAAGTGTGGGGAAATCATTTTATGTTTTCTTACCTTTCAGATCAGGAGACTGAAACCCCACCCCTCCATCATCATATGGAGTGGTAATAACGAGAACGAAGTGGCTCTGAGAGTGAACTTGTTCCATATAGAGCCCCATAACTTGAAAACTTACTTCAACGATTATGTGACCCTCTATGTGAAAAACATCAGAGAGGTTGTCTTATCAGTAAGTGATGGTTTTGGTGCAGTAGAATTGAAGAATGTGCTTCTAAAATGCCTTGTTCTCAATGTAGTGTAGTGTACTGTACACTTTTTTCTTTTTACCTCGAAGCAGAGTTTTCTGTGTACCTTTGTCTGTCCTGAAATTTGCTCTGTAGACTAAACTGGCCTCAAACTCACTGAGGTCCCCCTGCCTCTGCCTCCCAAGTGCAGGGATTGAAGGCATGTGTTACCACTGCCCAGTCTTTTTTTTTTTTTTTTTTTATGCCTCTTTTAAAGGCAGTCTTTTGAGCATCATTTGAATTCAGAGTATTTCATCATAATGCTATCGCATATGAACTGATCCACGTGGGTTGTGTGTGGATTTCTGGGAAGATAAACTGTCTTTGGGATTCTCCACATGGATCCAGTGCTTCCTGTCACGGCGTTTCCCACCCTGGAGTCCACGTGTAGATCTCCAAATGGTTCCTGAGTATAGATTAGATGATTTGGTGGTGTCCCACCTCTACAGTTCTGTGACCACGGACGCACGTGCAGATGTACCTGTATGTTCTGATGTATATGCTGGTGCGTATCAGACATGACCATTTTGGTCGGTGCTGTGAGGGTCACAGGAAAGGCAGCTCTTGTTCCCATGTGTACCTTGGGCTCTGCTGTGGTGGCATTCTTTGTATCACTGTTGTGAAGTAGGCATATTGCACAGTCTGCGCTGACACACAGTCCTCGTTCGTGGTGAGAGGAAAGTGGTATTTTTTTCAGTAACACTTTTAAAAGATTTTTTAAAAACTAATATTCTACTGAGTGATTTAATAGTCTGGCTGTCTTTACAACTTTGTGTCTGTACTCATATGTTTGGTATGTTCTGAAGAAATTTGAAAAGGAATATATTTAAAAAATAGTACGTGATAGGTAATGATTTTATGTGTATTTATTTAAAAGATTTGTCTATTTTTACCTTATGAGTTTTTGCCTGAATGTACATATATGTGTGTGTCATATGCATGGCTGTTGCCTGTAGAAGACACTGGATCCTCTGGAACTAGAGTTATGGTTGGTTGTGGGCCACCGCGCCGGTGCTGCAGAAATAGCTCATCAGTTAAGAATGCTTGTTTCTCATATCTGATCCAATGTAACAATTTGATTTTAAAACCTAGGAATTTTTATTTAATAGTATAGCGACGAAGAACCCATGATTCACAATCCTGTCTACGTAATCTTTGGCAGTTTGCTTAATGTCCGCTTTTCTACTTAGAAAAGTGAGTTAGAAAGAGGTACTAACTCGCAGGGGTTTTTATTGCTCTTTGTCTCAGACTTTACAGATGTCTTCATTCTAGGTCACGATGATGTTTAGAGTTCCCTGAAAATGGACAGTGTGAAACGCTATGTAACAATTACTATTGTTATTGCCATCAGGGCATAATTGTTACGATTAGTTCCTAGTGGTTCATCTTGCACTAAACAAGCACATAATATCACGATCTAGAATTTCCTACAGATAAGACTCCTGAGATCTGCCCCAAACCAGTAATAGTTTGAGTTGAGTTTTGAACCCAAGCATATCTGACTCAGTAGTTTTCATTAACCCGGGTTCCTGAAATGCAGCGATTTTGTCCCTAGGGAAAATTTGTCACAGATGAAGATACTTTAGATGAAGGAACTCAGGCTACCTAGCAGGTGTTACAAGATAGAGATGTTGCTATATGCCACTCAGGATAAGAGACTCATGTCCTTTCATCTCCCCCCTGCCCCCCCCCCCCCGCTATTAACCCAGAAGTCAATAGTACCAAAGTTGAGAAACTGGCTGAGACAGTGCACTGCTTATGGGGGAAGAAGGAAAGCAAAGCATGGCTGAGGACCCTGGGAAGAGGTGCTAGGAGGCATGGGCTCAGGTACTCACATAGAGAGGAAGGAAGGCACCGAAGAACGGGGCAGTGTTGACAGGGAAGGGAGGTCACTATCCTGTTAACTCTCTCAGCTATTTGGCATTTCTAGAAACTGATTTTTTTTTTTTTTATTTTTAAAGGAGTCCACTGTCTGTAACCTACCAAATCAACATATTATCCTTAAAATCGTTTCATTTCTGTGTTCAGGAAGACGGGAGCCGTCCTTTTATTGCATCCAGCCCTACCAACGGGGTCAAAACCATGGAGGAAGGCTGGATCGCCGAAGACCCTGAAAGCATCCGTTATGGCGATGTACATTTTTATGACTATTTGAATGACTGCTGGAATTGGAGTATCTTCCCAAAAGCTCGATTGGTGTCCGAATATGGCTACCAGTCATGGCCTTCCTTTAGCACGCTCAAAAAGGTGAGCCACCAGGTTGTCCATTTCCCCCGATCTACAACAGTAGACAGCAGGTTCAGAGGGTCAGATGAGAGCCACTTCCTATTCAGTTGATAGTTCAGGAAGAGGATGAAAGAAAAGAATTCTGCTTTAAAGTCTGGGGAGCGAAAGATCTTCTAATTGCCAGTTTGAGTGGATAGCTGTTCAGTATGCTTTTAATCGTGTGCCTTCAGGAACACCTAAAAGGTAAGCAGAAGCCCGTGGATGCTTAAGCTTGACTTTTAGTTATACACAGAAACAACTCCAGTTGCTAAAAACATTGATTTATTTGTTATTTATTTGTGTGTGGGCGTTTATTCTTGCCATGTGTGTGTGTGGTGGTCAGAGGAGCTGGTTCTCTTCTGCCACCGGAGTTCTGGGGTCCAAGTGTCAGTCTGAGCAACCAGTGCCTTCCCCAGCTGGGCCATCCTGCTGGCCTTGAATGGACACTTTCTATACAGCCTAATAATCCCTTACAGCTATTCAGAACAGGATACTCAGCCATGTTAGAAGGATGAACAGGATAAGCAAGTCCCGGTCTGTGTCACCAATTTTATTTTCTCCTTCCTCATGCCTGCCTTTTCTTTCTCCTGATGTTTTTCTTCATGTTCATGTATCTGGTTTTCAGTATGGATATGTACTCTGTACCCAAAGATTTAATTTTAGAGTCGTGTGTGTGCCCTTAAAAACCCTGTTAATGAGATGTGACTCTTTTGAGTAAAGAATTTGCTTGTTTAATGTATGTAACTCGCTAGGTCCCCAGTGTGCCTGCAGACTTGTCCAGTCATCCCCACACTCCGACTTAAGGACATTTTCATCACTCAGTGGAAACTCTGATCCCCTCAGAGCGTTCGCTCTCCGCTCCCTTCCGACCCTGCCCTCCAGCCCTAGGCACCACTCCTCTGCATCTACAGGTTTATGAATTCTTCACGATTCATGTGATTAGAATAACCCACCATGTGGTATTACGAAGTTGGTTGAACATGTTGCATTACTGATGATGTTCTATTGGACGTATCTTCCACATTTGTTCATCATTTTGCCTGTTGATGGACACTTATGTTATTTCCGTCTCTTAGCCGTCATGAGGAAAGCTGCTGTGAACGTTAGTGTGCCTGTTTTTGAGTGTGTACGTTTTTCAGACCTCCTAGGTGTGAACGTATGAGCGTAGCTGCTGAATCATGAGATGAATCTCTTAAGGCGCAGAATTGTTTTCTGAGGTGACTGCACCCTTTAGTCCTTCTACTAGTCTTCTTTTCTATATCCTTCCCTACAGTTATTTTAAAAACTTTTTTTTGTGGTAATATACTTTTGCGGAAATTTTGCATTTCTTTTTTTAAATTTTATTTTTTATATTAATTACAGTTTATTCACTTGGTATCCCAGCTGTAGCCCCCTCCCTCCTCCCCTCCCAACCCCTCCCTGCCTCCCTCAATTTTGCATTTCTTTGATGGCTGACTATTCTGAACATTATGAGCTTATTGCAATTTGTATATCTTCCTTTGAGAAATGTGTATTCAGATCCTTTGTTCAATTGTATTTATTGTTTTAGGCAGGGTTTCGCTAGCCCAGAAGTAGGCTGGCCTGAAATTCGTTCTATAGTGGTTTTCAACCTTCCTAATACTGTGACTCTTTAAAACAGTTCCCCATGTTGTGGTGACCCCCATCAGTAAAATTATTTTTGTTGCTATTTCTTCATACCTGTGGCTTTGCTGCTGCTGTGAATTGTAATATAAATGTCTGTGTTTTCTGATGGTCTTGGGCAACCCCTGTGAAAGGGTTGTTTGACCTGCAAAAAGGTCATGACCCACAGGTTGAGAAGTGATAGTCTAGGCAGTTCTAGGATAAGGAATGTGAACAAATTCTAAAACTTTACTATTGTAAGAGTTACTACTCTTATTTAAAATTGCTCTATTTTAAACAGAATATCAATTGTAGTCCACTATTTGGTTTTAAAAACCTAGTAACAGAATTCATCTAAATAAATGAAAGATACAGTGAAGCCAGTTTGCTGGCATTGGCTTGTAAGCCTACCACTTGGGAGGCAGGACAATCAGCTTAGCATCCATACATGGGAGAGAACATGGGTGCTACTTGGGTTCCTATCTCAGAAAATGAAAGGACAACAACAGGAAGAAGGATGGAATGATAAATGTTTTAACAGACAGAATTATGTTTTCTAGACCAGGCTTCTAAGAGAAATACTAAAGTGTAACTTTCTAAGTATGAAAGTAGACCATTGTTTTTTTTTTTTTTAATTTTTTTAACTTTTATTAATTACACTTTATTCACTTTGTATCCCCCCATAAGCCCCACCCTCTTCTCCTCCTGATCCCACCCTCCCTCCCCCTTCTTCACGAATGCCCCTCCCCAAGTCCATTGATAGGGGAGGTCCTCCTCTTCTTCCTTCTGATCTTAGTCTATCAGATCTCATCAGGAGTGGCTGCATTGTCATCTTCTGTGGCCTGGTAAGGCTGCTCCCCACTCAGGGGGAGGTGATCAAAGAGCAGGCCAATCAGTTCATGTCAGAGACAGTCCCTCTTCCCATTACTATGGAACCCACTTGGACACTGAACTGCCATGGGCTACATCTGTGCAGGGGTTCTAGGTTATCTCCATTCGTGGTACTTGGTTGGAGTATGAGTCTCAGGAAAGACCCCTGTGCTCAGATTTTTTGGTTCTGTTGCTCTCCTTGTGGAGTTCCTGTCCTCTCCAGATCTTACTATTTCCCACTTCTTATATAGACCATTGTTTTTAAATTGGATCCCGCCTTGTTCTCAAGGCTGCTCCATTACCAGTGATGACAATTTTTTTTTTAATGTGTGAAATTCACACAACAGAGCAAATCTTAATTTCTTTCTTAATGTGTAGAGCAATTTCCAGGTTTGTCAGAAACATATAAGTAGCCTTTGCTGCTAAGATCTGTAACTCTTACTCTTTACTCAAAAGGTCTCATCTAAAGAGGATTGGTCTTACAGTAGCCACTTTTCCCTTCATCGACAACATCATGCGGATGGTAACAATGAAATGCTTCAACAGGCCCAGCTTCATTTCAAACTCCCCCAAAGTACAGACCCATTGCGCAGATTTAAAGATACCATCTATCTTACTCAGGTAAGCTGTTTTCAGCGTGGAGTTGATAGGTTTCTACACTGAACATACGCAATCATGCAGAATTTGTGGCCTTCGTGTGGCGAACAATGGTCAGGTTTGTGTTTTCTGATTATGACTTTTGTTTTCTTTACAATACAGATGTGACAATCCAGAAAACCTCTATCTAAATTTCGGCTTTGTTTCTCCTTACAAGGACAGCTTATGAAAGTCTGAAACCAACTGTGTACTAAAACGTTTGTTCGTTCAGGATTCACATACAGGTTCAGCAGTAAAAGCAGTAGCAGTATTTCCCTAGCAGGACAGAAATGGGCTCACACATGAGATGGTTCCCTGGCCTCTGACAATAATGTGTGTGCTAGGTAGTGGACAGCTTTATAGGAAAATAAAAGTCCTCATGTATGCAAGTTAATTTCACCACAGACCTGAGACTCAAATATGAGGGTTTGTAGGAGAACCATGCTTTCATGCTCCAGGCCTTGGATTCCATCCCTGAGACAAAGAAAACCAAGATCCTCCCCGCCCCTCCCCACCCCCCACGCACACACACCTTCTCCCATGATAAACTTCTTGGAGAGAACACAAGACAGTATCTTCATGACTTTGAGACAGGCAAAGCCAAACGTTTGACAATGCTCACCACGAAAGAAAATGTTTAGAAATCATATTTCACTACCTGTCTGTCATCAGACGCCCAGCAAATATGCTAGAGAAGGTTCCTAAGCTCAGGGGTTGGTGAAGACTGGAGTGGCCTCCTAGTGTAGGTGGGTAGTGAGAGGCCTTCCTGGTACATGTCATGCAGCTTAGTCAGTCTTCAGGAGTGGTAGTGTGAATCATAGATTAAGGGAACATGCTGGTGTGCGGCTATCTGGAACAGATAACCTGCTGAAAAAGAAGACTGAGAGGGGACTTTGGAACACTGGGACAGTTGAAGAGGCAAAAGAACCTGCTAGCGACAATAAGACGAAGTCAGGGAAGGAAGGCTCTGAATGCTTGCTGCAAGGCCTCCTCAGTTCAAACTTTTTTGACAGTTGCAAAATTAATTTGGTCAACTAATAGTGTCTTAGCAAATGACGTAAGCATATATCCTGTTCTTTAGGACCTTGTGAATGACCAACAAGAAAAGAACAAAGAGGAGGGGTGAGTTAGAGAGGATGAGCCAAAGAAAGAATTAATCTATCTGCCCTCTATCCATATCATTTAAAATTTAATGAAAATTGTATGTAAGATTACTCAGTTCCTGCATCTTCCTTGCTGGTGCTTTCTTGTATTTTCCCTGTTTCTTTCCCTGTTCCTTCCCTGTTCTTTCTGGCAAAGCCTACCTTTCAGTTCCAGGAATTTTCGGTTAATCAGTCAATTCATTATTTTACAGTTTTTGTTTGGTTTTAGTCTGGTGAGGACCACCTTGCTGGGAAAAGTGCTTCCATGGACAGGGAGAGAAGAAGGAGTGGTGGGAGCATAGGGGGAGAAAGGTGGTGACAGGAGCACAGAGAGAAAAACAGCAGATTAATTTAATTGAGATCTCGTCTAGTTTAGGCTTAGAAGGCATCAAGGCAGAGTGCAGAACTTTCTGAGAGGAAGTCCAGTTCTGAACAAGGCTTAGTTGGTTCCTAAATGCTAAGCCTCATCATTACTAAATCCCATGAGTGGATAATTCCACCAGTGCCAATCTGCCTCCTCCTGCCTCGACTAGCTCTCCCTACACCTAAATTTCAGCATGAACGGTCTCTGTTTGCTTACTCGACATACCGAGTGTGAGGCTTGCTTATGTTGGTGACACAATGAGTGTGTATTCTTTTGTTTTGTTCTGGATGATTTTACCGTGGAACAAATCCCATTGCGTGTAGTTTTCCTCCTGAAGGACCCTTATGTTGTCTCTAGCTGGAGGCCGTTATGAGAAACGCTGCTATGAGCAGTATTTGAGATGACTATTATAGACAAGTGTACTCGCTTGGGTGTGCAGCTGATTTCCAAGGAAGCCAAGTATTTAGCTGTGACAGAAACTGTCAGAAACTTTCCCAAAGTGGTCAAACGAAGCGACACTTTGTCTAACAGTGCTTTACAGTTCCAGCTGGCTTACCCTCTCCTCAGCAGCTGGCGGTGCCAGTCTTTAATTATAAGAATTTTGGTGGGTGTGCATCTTAAGTGGTTTTAATTTTCACTTGCTTGGTTGAAAATGAGATTAAAGAGCTGGCGAGGTGGTTAAGAGCACCAACCACTCGCCTAGAGGAACCAGGTTTGATTTCCCAGCACCCATATGACTGCTCATAACTCCAATTCCAGGGAATCTAATGCCTTCTTCTGGCCTCTGTGGGCACCAGGCACACACAGACATACATGCAGGGAAAGGACCCAAACATACCAAATACATTATAAAAATATGTGATTAAGCACAGTTTCTTTCTTTTTTTTTTCCTTTTCTGTTCTCTCTTTCTTTTTTTGATTTTTGTTTGTTTCTTTGTTTTTTTCCTGAGACTGGGTTTCCCTGGCTGTCCTAGAATTCAGTCTGTAGATCAGGCTGGCCTTGAACTCAGAGATCCTTCCATCTCTGCCTCCTGAGTGCTAGGACTAAAGGCGTGTGCCACCATCACCTGTCAAAGCAAATTTACATATATTTATTAACTGCTTGGGTAGTTTTTATAGTAAAGTGTTTATTCAAGGTTTCTGCTTATTTGTCTTTTAGAAGTTCTTAATTATGGCTATCTCATATTAGGTATATGAATTATAGCTAGAAGTATTTCTCAGTAGTACAGCACTTTCCTAATATGCTCTGGGTTCCATCCCAGGCATCACAGAAAAGATGTGTGTGTGTGTGTGTATGAGTGTATGTTTATTGCACTGAAGGGACTGACTGATTACTAACAGAGCACATGGTATATATCAGAATCCTTTCTAGGTATCATGTGATTTAATTATCAGGCAATCAGCCTTCCTCTAAGTGTCTGATTCTTGACCACAAAATGTTTTGAACCTTTTCTTGTAGAAGTCTGACATCTCCAGACATCATATTAGCTGTTTATAATGTAAAGTGCATTTTAGTTAGTTTTTTTTTTGACAGTATTGAGAGAATTAAACCCAAGGCCTTGCGTTCACTAGGCAAGCCCTCTATTACTGAGAGCTACAGCTACAGCCACTATTAAATTCTATGCCTGAGGAGACAGAAGTTCAGAACAGAAATATTTTACTCAAGAACTCGTCAATGACTAGAACAAACTTTCTGTTTTTAAGCTCTCTGTGATATTGCACCACCTTGAGAAAAGGGAAGCTGTGCAATATTGAGGCATTTGGTTGACTTATTAACTTCCAGAGCCTATTGGAACACTGGAAAAGGTGAAGCCAATACCTAGCTCTTTGGAATAATCAACAAAACGAATGATTTTTAGGTGGACAAGTCGAGTGGAGAGTCCAAATTAGGAATGGACGAGGAAATAGTACCACTTGCCTTACAGAAATTGTTAGGATTATGCAGCGGAGTTATACGGCGGGTTCATAAATCACGCCAAGGGTCAGGTTCCACATGGGAGGTTTTATTAGGGGAGAGGAAGGGGTTGCAGAGACTGTCACAGAGACAGAGAGAGAAAGGGAAAGAGGGGAAAGAGCGAGAGGGGGAGGGAGAGAGAGAGAAAGAGAGAGACTGGTCTTCTTATAAGGTGATCCAGCGCATCATACGCAGGAAACACATGCTTGTGTCATGACGGTGGTGAAGGGTCCTGAGTTTTTGGAGGTGGCTACAGAGATGCCTGATTGATGTTCCACTTGTCAGGTCCCCTGGGAGCTGGCTGTGGAGATGCCTGTTTGCCAACTCCATCATTCCTCCCTTTTCTGTTTATTTAAAAAAAAAAAATGAACTAGGAGGAGGAGTGATGGTGGGAAGGGGATAGGGGTGACTTGTGCTCTTTAAGCTGCTTCCTGCTGATTAGGGGCATTGTCATTCTCAGGGTACAGCTGGTCCCCACCATCACGGTAGATTGGAAAGTTGTTGTAATCCGGTTCTGTGGTCAGAGGCTGATAAACCTGTAAGAGTAACTGATGAATGGTTTGGTTAGAGCATTTCTGGATTTATTGTTGGAGGAATGCAGAGAAGAAGCTTATAAAGCAGGGTGCAAAAAGCAAAAGCATGAAGATGAGCAGGAGAGCTGTGAGGAATGGCAGACTCCACTTCCATATGGGGTTCTCTAAGGCCCAAGAGTTAAAGGTCTCCAGCTGTTCCCTTCGCTTCTGTCACTGTCTGGAGTTGTTGGATTTTGTCTTTTACTATACCTAACTGGTTGACATAAAAGCAACCTTCTTCTTGGAGGAAGAGGCAAAGGCCACCTTTTTCAGCCGTGAGGAGGTCTAATCTTTGTTATGCTTTGAAGTACTACTGCTGCCAGTGAGTTGATCTCTCCCTGAAGAGATAATATTGTCTGAGCCGATCGCTGGAAATCCTGGATGAACTGGGAAGAAAGCTGATAATGCAATGTTATAGAAGTGGCCGGTCCCTCTGTCCTGGTTCCAATACTTGCTGTGATTTCTGCAACAAGCCAGCAGAGGCAAGATTTGAATTGCCCTCTTATCATGCTAGGCAGATGTTGAGTCTACAACTGGAATTGATAAGGGTTCTTTTCCATGTGTCACCCACAACTTGGGGAAGAGGAGCACCAGTGTGCAAACTCCTGACCAGCCAACAGGTAGACCTGAGTACCACAAAGAATTGAGGTATTCCAAGCAGTAGGGCATTGGGGTTGAGATGAGGTATTGAGGATTATAGTTTCATTGCTGTCTAAGGAACATAATGTTACCACAGAATGTGTCCCAGATGCCTTGAAACAGCTTGCCCCACCAAAGATATGGAAAAGGTAGGCAGTTGTGGCAACACCAGAGTCAGGGCAGCTGGTGAATGGCAAGATAAGGCTATTTGACAGGGTCACTGGAGAAGCTGTCAATGGTAGTTCTGAGTTGGTCCCAGGTGGGACACATAGCCAACAATATCCAAAATGGCCAGGTTAGGCGACATTAAGGCT